ACTGAGTACTCACATTTTTCACCTTTTCAAAAATTTGATCACTTGTCAATGTAGGTGGAACTCTACCTTGTTATTGATTTCCATTGAATGCTTTTGTCCATCCATGGTAGTGATGATTGGAATTTAAAAATCTATGATGACCGAGAAATACATTCTTCTGACAAAATTCTAATCGCGTCCAATCTGTGTTTTCTTCGCAAATATGACACACACATTGACCTTTAATGTTATACCCTGATAGGTTTCCGTATGCTGGAAAATCATTAATTGTGCCAAACAACATCACCCTAAAATTGAAACTTTCTTTCCTGTATCCATCATAAATCTCCACACAGTTCTCCAACAAAATCTTTAAGTCTTCGGTTAAAGGTGTCAAGTATACGTCTATGTCATTCACTGATTGTTTAGGCCCAGAAGTTAACATAGATAACATCATGTACTTACGCTTCATACATAGCCATGAAGGTAGGTTATAAATCATAATAATCACAGGCCATATGGAATGTGAGATACTTTGCAGACCATGTGGGTTCATTCCATCACTAGATAATGCCAACCGAAGGTTTCTCGCTTCTTTTCCAAAATCAGGATAATCATTGTCAATTTTCATCCACTATGGTGAATCTGCTGGATGCCGAAACTTTGCATCTATAATTCTTTCATCTGCATGCCAAGTCAAATGTTTTGCATCGGTTTCACTATGAAACATGCGTCTAAATTTCGGAATTATAGGAAAATACCATAAGACTTTTGCTGGAGATAATTTCTTCTTATATCGAGAGACACCACATTTAGGGCACTCAGTCAAGGATGCATATTCATTTTGAAACAAAATGCAATCATTTGGACAATCATGTATCTTATCAAAGCTCATGCCAATAGAGCACACCATTTTTTTGGCCTCATAGGTTTGATTGGGAAGAACATTATCATCTGGAAGCATCTCTTTCATAAGTGATAATAACTTTGTGAAACTTTTATTTGACCATCCATTACCCGCCTTTAAGTTGTACAACTTTAATACCGCAGACAATCTTGTGAATTTAGTACAACCTTTATACAACGGTTTCTCTATATCGCTTACCAACCTCTCAAACATTTTGGGACAATCCTGAAGACCTTCTTCAAGTGCTTCTGCAATCTCTTCGACTCGATCACAATCGTATGTATCTGTGCCATTGTCCTTTGAAGCATAGATCCTATTATCCCCCGGTTCAACATTCTTGTTACATTTCACCATGTAATATCTAACACGTATAACTTCGATTAATTCCATGCCTCTTTAAATATGATTCCAACTAAACTGCGTCAATCCGACGCCCATAACAACAACTTAAGCAAGGACATGTGATCCAACTGGGGTTTTTGGCGTGTTCAACAACAAACTTAACAAATTCTGATACCCCATCCTCGTACTCTTTTGACAATCGATTGGAAGACATCTATTTTTTATCCATGGATTTTACTAAGTAAGCTAAACAAAAACACTAATTATTCACACAACTATAGATACCAAACAACTATAGAAAACACGCAAATTCAATCACACTTAATGTTTTAACTTAAGTAAGTCACAAAAAATCATCAATTCAAGCGCAAATCAATCACCAAAATTATCAAATCCACATAAAAATGACCAAATATAACAACTTTCCGTCACTTAAGTTCAAACAATCAACAACGTTACAATATTCAAGAATTTGTTCACAAATGTCATTCAAGTTTCAATTATAAAAAATAAATTCACAATGTCATCACTGTTCACCATATTCAACCTTAACTATTAACAATTAATTTAGTTATCATTTGCAATAAAAAAATTTGATCAAGACAAAGTCATTATCACTATTCATCATCACTAACATTGAACATTAACTTATAAAATTATTAACACAAAAAATCAAAAGAAAATCACCACAAACCTCACTATTCATCATCTTGAACCTTACTACTAAACTGACATTCAAACTTCCACTGAAGTCAAATAACAGCAACATCACAATGTAAACAAATAAACAATTAAACAAATAACATGCAAATAACTTTGAAACTGTAAAAAAATGAAGAAATACCTTCAACAATGGTGTCACGAGGTTGCTATGGTGGTTCGAGATGATGAAGAAACGGAGGTCGGAGGCTGCTACGGCGGTTCGAGACGATGAACGACGGTGGCACAGTTGGACGGAGGAAGAAACGATGGTCGGAGGTTTGGTAGGGTTTGTATGTTCGTCTGAGAGTGAAACAGAATACGTCAAAAATAAAATACGTATTCTGTTTTAATTTAAGAAAACAGACCTATAACAACGCTTTTTAAAAGCGATTTCTTTCCCCCCCTCTATAGCAGCGCTTTCCTTGAAAAAACTCCTTCATATGTTAGCCCTTTAGCAGCGCTTTCGAAAAGCATTGTCTAAGGTGTGACCTAGACACCCCTATAGCAGCGCTTTTGAAAAACGTTATCTAAGGTACTCCCTATAGCAGCGCTTTCCCCAAAAGCGCTTTCTATTGGTTACTCACTTATCATCTTTAGCAGTGCTTTTTCTCTTGTTTATTTTTAATTTTTTTAATCTTTTAGCAGTGTTTTTTTATAAAACCGCTGTCTTTGTAGTGCTGCCAAAAATTACTTTTGACGGAGTGAAGGTTGCTTACTAATTTGTGTCGAAAACTTGGAAGAATAGGATGTCACGTCATAGACCATAACTTTGAAGGAATTGGAATAATGATCTGAAATCAAAATCATCATTAGGGTTTAGTTCTTGATCAATTTTACCCTAATAATCATTTTGATAATGTCATTGTTAACTTATGTTGTCTCACTCTCACATGGCAGTGACAAAACCTCGCATGCTCTCGTTCAAAATGCCATAAAAACACAACAACAAACATTTCTCAATCTGCATTTGGGTGAAGGTGGTACCAACAACTCCACCATTGATGAACACATTCGCGTAAGGTTGCCACTGCTTTCATCAACTTCTCTTCTGCAAGTGTACCACTTGTAGTGAAATATCTATCATTAGGCATCTTTTCCTCTGTCAAACAGAAATATCTTTTTTTGCCTCATGTTGATGTTGTTGTGAATAATGAAATATGACGTTGGAAGTAATAGAATTTTAATGTATCATAAGAGTTGAACTGTAAATTAGTGGTGGATAGAAAAAGCTATGTGATAGAGAAGTTTGTTGCAACATGTAATTGGCGGTGTTATTGGAAATGGACTATTGATAAGTTTGTGGTGTCAACCATGTATGAGTATTAATAGTGATAGAATCAAGATGGTAGTAAGGATTAAGAGGAGAATCCATGGCAATGAAAACATGCTTTTTGCTACTGCATAATATAAAGAGCAATTACACTAAAAAGTTAAACAAATCTATAACTATTCTTTCATTCATTTTCTTCATAATAACTACATTCACCAATCACATATTTATAACATTGACATCACACTATCTAGATCCTTCTAAATGGTAGTGACTCACCACTATTAATCTTCACAGACTTATAGAACTTTGGCCCTACAAAATCATATTTAAATTCATATAAATTAATTATAAAAAATAAAAACATATTTAATATTGTAATTTAATTTAATTGCTTATATGATTCTTATACTTAATATAATTAAAACAATATATATGACAACCTAATAATATTAAAATATACAAATTAAATAATACATAATAAAATATTCTCGCAGAATCTTCGATCCATTGCCGAGATTTACGTCCTAGCTAGAAAGATTATTGGCTATCAATTATATTTTGTACCATCGAATCATTATTATCCTATATGTCATAGATCATAGTAAGTGATAAGGTTAATGATTTGTTTTTTTTTATATATAAATGAGATATGTATATGCTTATTTGTATAATTAATTTTTCACCATGCAAATTTATGACATGTCTTGTATATGATTATAAACACAATTAAAAAAAGAAAAATAAATCCCACGATATTAAATATTAATCCATAAAAAATAAAAGATTCACCAAAACAAAAACAAAAATTTAAACCAACTGTCTTCCAGAAATTTACAAAAATTTAGACAAAATTTAAAATATCTAATTAAATATTTCTAAAATATAATTAAAAAAAATCTAAATTAATTTAATATTGTGTTTATCATTTTCTATAAAAATATAATATCTTAATAATTATAGGATTATTTTTCAAAAACAAATAATAAAATATAACTTAAAAAAGAAGAAGTGATAAATGTAAAAATGGGACAGTAAAAAAACAAAAGTGATAAATATAAAAATGGGACAGTAAAAAAAACAAAAAGAAAAAGTAAGTTCACGCGCAAAGCATAGCGCGTGAGTTGATGAAGAGTTGTATCTCTTTTGGACAAGGTATTAGGATAGGAAGGGTTTGAAGTAGAAAGAAACATAAAAATAAAACTAGAAGATCCAAAGGGTAAAAAAATTGTTTCATTCTTTCTTTCTTTCTCAGTTTTTCTTCCCTTTTTATCAACTAACTCTTTCTCTCTCTCACCATGAAATTAATTAAATTATTGTTTCTAACGAAAATAAAATAAATAATTATTTTTAATTAATTAAAAAAAACGCGGCTGCTGTATTTTCACCAAAAACAGAGACACGGTGAGAGAGAACAAGAGAGAGAAAAAGAAAAAGAACGACAGAGACAACAAACTCTGTTCTGTTGTTGATTCGATCCTAGCTACAATTTTCAAACAATAACATTCACAAAATCGAACACACGTTCTGTTCTTTTGTTTTTCTTTTTTGATTCACGGAGGTTGTTTTTTTTAATATTATTTTTAAAATTTTTTTTTTTGGTTGAATTTGAGTTTGTGATTTGTATATTATTGTCTAGATTATTGTTTTGATTGAAAATTATTGGTGGAATTTTGTTTGTGAAGAATGGATCCAAGGGGGAGTTGGATTTGGAAGAAGGGTTCTCATTGTGAAGGTTTAAGTTGGAGGGTTTGAATTATTTTTTTTGTTTTGTTTTTTGTTTGGTGAATTTTGGTCTTAATGATTTCTGCTGGAGATAGGGATGAAATAAAGGGATTAGGGTTAGGGTTAGGGTTGGGGTTGGGTAGTAGAAGGAGAGAGATGGTGGAGTCTGAGCTTGAAGAAGGTGAAGCTTATTCATATCAGAACCGTGAAGATTATGACGCCACTGTTGATCCTGATGTTGCCCTCTCTTACATTGTAAGGTTTTTTTTACTTACTTTTGTTGTTGTTTTATAGTTTTGAAATTATGGTTGTTTTGGTTTTTTTAGATCTAAGATGTTAATTTAACTGGTTTCGATGATTGGTTGGTATAATTTTGAGGATGTAATTGTATTTTTTGTAATGATTTGATTGTTTCTCTGTGGCTTTTGTGATTTCAACATGATGCATTTGAGTAGTTGAAGTAATGTTTGATTGATATTTTGAATCTGATTATGGAAATATTCCGCTACTGAAGTTGTTTTACTTGTGAATTTCTACTTACAGTTTTGGAATACCTTTTTCTCGGAGATTGACTTGTAAACGTAATTCCGCTGCGAAAGATAGGGAATAGTTTTGTCGTTTTCCTTTATAATCATGTGGCGGCTTGAACTTCATTTCTAACCATTTCTGGTTCATAAAGCGAATATTTTGAGTTATTTGTGTTGACGAAATTGAGGAGGTTAATTAATTTGAAATTTAATGCCAACTTTGTGTTCGGATTGAAAGAACGAGTGTTGTGTTGTTCCGTCGTCGTGTTAGGGTTCCGAGTCTCTGACTTCGTTAAATAGATTTAAATTCTTCTTCATTGATTCCGTTTTGTTTTCTCTCAATGATTTGTGAATTTGGTCTTTACTCAAGGATGACAAAATTCAAGATGTCCTTGGACACTTTCAGAAAGATTTTGAAGGTGGGGTGTCCGCAGAAAATCTGGGTAAGTTTTAACCTAGAATCATAAGTCATCTGACCTAGCCGTGCAAAATAATTCTTTGTCTAATGATACTGAGAAACAATTTTACAGGGGCGAAATTTGGTGGTTATGGATCATTTTTGCCTACCTATCAGCGCTCTCCTGCTTGGACTCATCCGAGAACTCCACATAAAAATCATACTCAAAATTCGCCTAGATCTCCGAATAACTTCAATTCAGAGGTATAGTCTGCGCGACACATTTTTTAAAACTAAATTGATGAATGTATAAAAGCTTTTATGACTAGCCCTTGTGTTATTTTTCATTTTTCGGTTTACTTGATATTAATTTATACGGTACTATACAGATTGGACAAGGGGATGCTGTACAATGTTCAACCGGAGCTCAATTATCGAGACTTGGCCCAGGTTCTGCTACCTCCTCGAGGCTGGCTGCAATGAAGGGACTCTCTTTAGATGACGAAAAATGTGCGGAGGCGTTAAATTCTAAGTATGATTCTCTAAACACGAAAGCCGGCAGCATATCAGACCAGAAACCACTGAAAGTTCGAATCAAAGTGGGTCCTGATGATTTGTCAACAGGGGAAAATGCTGCTATATACAGTGGACTTGGTCTTGATGTGTCACCGTCACCATCACCGGATGACAGCCCCTCAGAAAGTGAAGGAATTTCTCGTGGTCATCTAGATGATCCCTTTGAATCTCCTACCAGTATCATTAAGGTGAATTATCTGACTGCAATTAGATTCTCTATTTTCTTCGAATTGAGCTTGATGAGATTTTTTTTTAAATCTTGGCTTGGAACAGATTATGACAACCCTCCCTAAGCTGTTGTCGCCCCTTCCTGATGATCTCATTGAATTAATTGAGAAAGAAATTCGTACCAGATATAGCATCCCCGGTCCTGTTCATATTGATGACAAAGAAAGTTCCGGCATGTTACCAAATGAATCTAATGGTGTAAAAGGTGACATAAAATTGTTCGGAGGGAAAAGAGTGAAGTCCCTACAGGGTTATGAGTCCTCAATGGAAGTCAAGGGTTTCAATAAGAAGAATACTCATAATGATGTTGGAGGGTCGTCAAGGAAAGAAAAAAATGCAGATGCGTTGAATACGGAGGAACTGGTTTCAAAAACCATGAAACATCCACTTTTGTCCAATTCATATCCTCTCTGCAATGATCCGGTAAAGGATGCAGATGGGCCATGTGGTTCATTGAAGGAAGCCAACAAAGGGGTGGTGAAGGAGAAAACCTTGTCGGACCAAGCACAAAAGGAACGGGTGGATCACGCATCTACGGAAGTGAATGGTTTTTCTGAGAGGGCAAAAGGAGGTTCGGGAAGAAAACTTGTGGGTGATAAGGTTTTGCTTGATGACACAATAAAAGCTGAATCTAATGTTTCCAAAGTTAGGACAACATCAAACACTGAATGTGTAGAGCCTCCTAAGAAGGCTGATCAGAGAGGTAGCCTGGGCGAACAAGACAGTACGGCATTGCCTGGGGGGAAGAAGAAGTCAAAGGGAATTCATGACACCACGGTTATAGAGAGGGAAAAAGAAAACCTGAAGGTTGCATTCTCTTTGAATCCCAAAATAAAAAAGAGTTCTGATGATAGTTATACGTCAAAAAATGAAATTGAAGATGTCAAAGTACAGAAGGGTCCTATGAAGGCTAGGGACGCGTATAGAGATTTCTTTGGAGAATTGGAAGAAGACGAGGACAAAATTGATTCCCTGGAAACCCCTAATGAAGATAAACTGAAGGAATCTGAGGCGGTTGTGAGGAGTGTGGCTGAAACAAATCTTGGAGCAAAGGAGAGATCAGGTAGTAAGAAAATTGATAAGCCATTGACAGCAGAAGTAAAGCCTAAAACAGCCACAAATGGCTGGGGCACTGGAAATGCACCTAGTACTGTTGTGGAAAATGGAAACGTGGTTCCTGCGATGTTGCCTCCTGTTGAGATGGAAGATAATTGGGTGCAGTGTGACAGGTGCCATAAATGGCGTCTTCTTCCTGCTGGCAAAAATCCTGAAAGCCTACCTGAAAAGTGGCTGTGTAGCATGCTTAATTGGCTGTAAGTTCTAATTAAGTGGTTAAAACTTATTATTTGTTCATGTTTCATTTCATAAATAAAATACTAAAAACTAACAATTTAAGCTTTTGAAATAATTTATTTATGACACATTATGTGCATATTTCTGCAGGCCTGACATGAATCGTTGTAGTTTTAGTGAGGATGAGACCACTAAAGCCCTTTTTTCTCTATACCAAGGGCATTCTCTTGATGCTCAAAACAACCTGCAAAATGGCTCGGGAAGTATTCTGGTATCAGGAACTGGGGCAACTTTGCAGCATCCTGGTCAACGCCAGCTAAATAATGATATGCATGCTGCGCCTGGCGGGAAGAAAAAAGCTGTGAAAGAAATTTCAAATTCTTCAAATAAAGAAGGCGTTACTCTATCTTCTCATTCTATAAAGAAAAACCCTCAGTCATCAGTGAAAAGTCGGAGCTTAAATGACGTGAACAAATCTCCTGTTGTGAGTGAGGCTGATGCTCCAGGGGAGAAACACAAAAATAAGCCGAGGATGCCGGAGTACAATTCTGATAGAGGTTACTTGATCCACATATTTATTGTGCTTATCAATTCCCAACTAATATATATAGGCACTCACTCAGGGACCTGTTAAATTTCTATAATGTCATCTTAGTTTCTGAAAATTTGTTACAGGTGATGTGAAGAAGGTTAAAAGCAGGAGGGATCCTGATGAAGATTGTTTGAGGCCATCCAAGAAAAGTAAGACTGATTTGGTTCAATCTGCTGATAAAGAGTGGATTCCAGAACAGAATGGAACGTCTAGGAAGGTCAATCATAGCTCAAGCAACACTTTGCCAACTACTTCAGCTGGCAAAGATCGATCTAGACAGAGAGGCCACTCCTCTTCGAGTGACTCCAAATTTGGAAAGGACAGGCCGCCGGTTTCTGCTGAAAAGAAAAAAGACAAGGGTCGGGATTCGTTGGATGAGGGGTCCCTAGATTTAGTGAATTATGGTTCAAATGGCAGTGTAAAAAAGAGGAAATTGAAGGACTATCAGGATGCTCAAACTCGTAGCTCAGGTAATCCTTTCCCACACGATAGTAGAACTTCTGAGCAGGAGTTCAGTGACTCCAGGAAGGAAAAGAAAGCAAGAAATTCAAGATCTGAAGGCAAAGAATCAAGTGCTAGTAAAGGCAGTGGCAGGACTGACAAAAAAAATGGTCATACAAAGAACCAAAGTTCCAGGCAAAATCCTGGGAGCAATCATTCACATCGGAGCATTGATGGCATGGACAGTTCGAAAAGGGACTTGGGGTCTGTACAGGTTTCTGTTGCGGCCACTTCCAGTTCTTCTAAGGTCTCTGGCTCACATAAAACCAAAGCCAGCTTCCAGGAAATGAAGGGCTCCCCTGTGGAATCAGTTTCCTCCTCGCCGTTAAGAATTTTAAGTACAGATAAGTTTTCAAACAGAGAAGTTATGGGGAAAGATGTGCCTCGTGATACTGCTGCTGTGGATTGTTCAAAAAGATGCTTAGACGGGGAAGATGATGGTGCAAGTGATCGTTCAGAAACAGCTAGAAAGGAAAAATCTTTCTCCATGGCCCATAGGTCTGATTTTCAGGGCAAGGGTGTTAATCATATATCAGATACTAAGCCTAAAGCGCAAACAACCAGCCATTATACCAATGGTGGTGCTGAAATTATGGCCCTGGATGGGACATATCCAGGTGCAGAGCAGATTAAGGATCAGGGCGAAGACAGGAGTGGTGTTCATTATGCTAACGCTAGTGTGTCTCACGCAAGGAAAACTGGCATGGAATCAGATTTGGAGGAAAACAAGCAGGGCTGTAAGTCAGAGCCTCCTGAAGTTAAAGTGAAGAACTCTAGTTCTCCTAGTCAACTGCCAGATCAGTCTCCTTTTTGTGAGACAAAGCGTAGGGATGGAAAAGTTAAGTTGCAGGATAAGTTCGGGCTCAAGCATGACCAGAATGAGAATATTCATGCTAGCAAAAAGGACTCAACAGGAAAAAATGAAAGTAGGAAAAAAGAGAATCACGGAAAGAGGGAGCGTGATTCTCAAGAGGTTCGTGTTGATGCCCCAAGCAAATGGGAACCATTACATGCACCCAGTAAGAATCAGTTGGCAGACTGTGATGCTGAAAGATCTTCAAAGAGGTCTCTTTTGGAAAGACCTGATCAAGAAGTGCTTGGAAAAGGGAAGTCTCAAGTTGAGACTTTGAGTCATTGCCCACGACCAGTCGCTGGTTCCCATAGAGGGAATGGAGATATGGAACTTGATCCGTCCAAAGCTGATGATGCATCAAAGCTGCAAAAAAAGCAATTAAAAAAGGCTGATCATCAAAATGGAACTCAGCAAGTTGGTTCCAAAAACCATGCAGTTAATGGACACAGATCCAAGGAGCTCGATGCCCCTAGTCCACTTAGAAAGGATTCTTACACACATGCTGCTAACAATGCTGTTAGAGAAGCTAAAGATCTTAAGCACCTGGCTGATCGTCTCAAGGTTTTTACACTGTCCTCTTAGCTCTTGATATTTTTTTCTCTTCTTGGTGGTTGCTTTACTAACTCTGTGTTTATCATACAGAATTCTGGATCCGCTCATGAGAGCACAAACCTGTACTTCCAGGCAGCCCTTAAGTTTCTCCATGGAGCCTCTCTATTAGAATCTGGTAACAATGATAATGCAAAACACAGTGAGATGATTCAATCAAAGCAGACGTACAGTAGCACAGCAAAATTGTGCGAGTAAGACAGTTTTTCTCGGTCACCTTGGTTTAACTTGTTTTAAGGATCATATTGTCATCTTTGTTTTCAATACTTCTCTCTATAAATATTCTTCCTTTTATTTTTACTTATATTAGGATGTAAACATGCTTTCATAACAACCATATTGATATTTTACATTTGGTAGGTTTTGTGCCCATGAATATGAGAAATCAAAAGACATGGCTTCAGCTGCTCTGGCCTACAAATGCACGGAGGTGGCATATATGAGGGTAATATATTCTTCACACACTAGTGCAAGCAGAGATCGGTATGAGTTGCAGACTGCCCTGCAAATGACTCCTCTTGGTAAGAGACCATGTTGAGTTATTTTTACTGTTTCATGAAGCAATGATTCTCTTTCCAATTGGTTTGGTCCTGCACCCTGGACATCCTATCAAACCATCTGTGTTTGTTGAATGAACATAACATCTTTAAACATTTATGACATTTTTGTCAAAGAATTATATAATGTCATGTGCATTGTGACAAGAATTTCATATAGCAGGATGATGGGAAAGAGATGAATAAAAACAGGAATAAGATAGGTTATATATGGCTCATATGTTTGCTATTATTAACGTGCCGAAAACAAGTTTTTCCTTACATTGCATGAACAAAGGACCATTTCTCTTTCTCATGAGTGTTGCTGATCTCGAGATTATGGTGGCGATGAGATGGATATAGATAAAACTCTGATAATTTTTGTCTTGTTTTGGACCTTGTTTCATTTGTCAGGCGAATCTCCATCATCATCAGCCTCTGATGTTGACAATGTTAACAACTCTACAACAGCTGACAAAGTTGCCCTATCCAAGAGTATCAATTCACCTCATGTTGCTGGAAACCATGTTATTGCTGCACGAAGTCGTCCCAATTTTGTGAGGATACTTGGTTATGTAAGTACATAGTTCATAAAAACCATGCTGCTTGCATATTGGGGAAAGTTGTCTTATGAAATTTTATAGAAGGAGAATGCATACATGCATATTCCTTAAGAATGAGAAAAACATGGATCTTGATTATGTGAATTCATTGATGATTGTCATGCAGATTGGGAGTGATTAGACCTTGTAAGAAATATAGAATTGACTGATTTGACATATGTATAATTGCAGGCTCAGGATGTGAATTTTGCCATGGAAGCCTCAAGGAAATCACGGAATGCTTTTGCAGCTGCTGATGCAAGCATGGGTGTGGGTAAGAATGCCGATGGTATTTCTTCTATCAAGAAGGCTCTTGATTTTAGCTTTCAAGATGTAGAGGGGTTTCTACGTCTGGTACGGCTTGCTGTGGAGGTCATTCATCGTTAAAAGGTCCAATTAGTCACAAAATGATTCTAGCCCATTAAGAACACTTGTTTCTTTCTTCGTCGTGTATAAAACCTTCAACGACAAAAAGTTCTCGATTCAATTACAAAGGGCAGGGTTTATAGTGTTGGATCTTTAACCAGTCTTGCCAACTGATGAAGCTATATGCTTTGAAATCTTTGGCAAACTTGAGATCGTGTGGAGGCATTCAGAAATCAGCATTTGTTGAAAAGCAGATTCTCTGACCAACTCTGATACGGGGAATGATGCTACATCAGGATTGTAAATTGAAGATATATGATGGGTGGATATGGATATGGATATAGATTTAGAAGTTTTGGAAATTAGTTACCATCTTTTGTTCTCATTCTGGAGAGGTTATTATTTTGTCAATTTGTAAATGTGTAGAAGTTGTTGTAACTTCTGGTGAGAGATAGTTGTAATTTCGCCTCTACCAGTTGGATCCGCACTTGCTCCTCTTGGTGAGTCGAGGAGAGTAAGACTAAGGTGAGCATTCCTTTGATTCTTTCTTTGTAATGGTAGATGAATGTTAAATTTCCTTAACTTTCATTTCTCAATCACCATTTTTTTTCCTGATTTGAATCATGACATATGTGCAGGTCTTGTACAATTTTGGGATTATTGGTAGAACTCTACTTTTCATTTTCTTGTGGATAAACAACAATCAGAAAACAATAAAAGAGGATGTACATCAAAATTTGTTTTTAAAGTAGGTGATTGATTGCATTGCAACCCTTTTTTCCCCGAAGGAGCGCTGTCATTGTGTAAATAAACTCAGTAGAATCAAGTGCCATATGCCAGCTGACAGGTACATTTTCTATCCTTTGTTGTGCAATACTGAACTCATTGAGCTTTTGTGGTAGTTTTGATGCCAACCTTAAAAATTGGATTTGGTTGCAGGTTGTGCCACTGAGGAAAATTGAAAATGAAGCTGCAATTTACCTGGCTAACTCTGTAACTAACCTTAATGGAGTTTTTTATACTTTCCATTGTCAATGGTGTTTATGCTTGTATTAATTGAACATTCAAATTCAATATTAAATTTTGTCTCCTGTTACTTTAGTAAATGGTGTTTCCCTCTATTGAGCATATCAAGTAAATTCTAAAAATATGATACTTTAATCGGAGACATTCATCGGTTAAGAATGGTGATTAAAATGAAATTGTTTGGTTAAGAACACAAGGAGAATATGACTCGAGTTTTGCCAAGTGATTGGAATCAAGAGAAGTATCTTCATAGCATGGTGGCACAATCTCAGATTTGCATGTTTGAATATTTGAGTTTCATTTAAGTAGAGGATGAAAACTATAATTACTACCATTGAATTTATAGAAGCAACAAGGAAAGTAAGCGTTGGAAAGGATCACTACTAATAAGGTGGTTGAGCTAAACAATTCCTGGTAATAGAGATATTGAGTGGTTTATCAAATGCTTCGATGAAATTATGAAGTTAGCACACATCTCAGTAATAATAAGTTGGTTGAGCTAAACGTAATTAATATATGAAATTTTTTTGGTGATAGAGGTATTGAGTGGTTTATCAAACGCTTCAATGAAATTATGAAGTCAACACACATCTCAGATGAATGGAGAAGAAACATTTTAGTTCTAATCTATAAGAATAAGGGGGATATACAAAATTGTGCAAATTATAGAGAGATTAAACTTATGAGTCATACTATGAAGTTATGAGAAAGAGCGATAGAACAAAAATTAAGAAAAGAGATTCAAGTCATCAAGAATTAATTTGGTTTTAGATTGGTAGGTCTACCATGGAAGTGATTTATCTACTACGGTGTGTGATGGAACAATATCAGATGTACTAACATGATCTGTATTTAATTTTTATTGACATGGAGAAGACGTATGGTAAAGGACCTAGAGACATTTTGGAAAAAGCATAGAGAAGAAAGAAGTTAGGATTACATATATTCAATCTATCTAAAATATGTATGAAGAGGTATCGACTAATATTCAAACACAAGATAGAGAGACAAACAATTTTTCCATTACAATCGATTTGCATCAAGGTTGAACACTAAATTTCCACCTTTTCACCTTAATTTTGGATGCACTCACAGAGCATATCCAAAAGCTAGCATCAAGATGCATGGTTTTTTTTTGCAAATGACATAGTCCTACCTGGAAAGTCGGAAAATGATTTAAATGAGAGGAAGATGAGCTCTATAAACGCATGGTTTTTTTCTAAGGAGAAGTAGGATAAAGTATATGAAATGTAAGTTTAAAAAACAAGTTTCTAACATTGAGGTGAAAGTTGGAGTCCATAGCATTCCTCAAGTCACACGATCTAAATATTTTGGGTCCTTAATATAAAATAATGGAGAAATATAAGGGATGCAAACCATTAAATTCAAGTTGAGTGGCTGAAATAGAGAAGAGCTTCATGTGACTTATGTGACACAAAGGTACCACTTAAGCTGAAAGGAAAATTTTATCAAACTGCAGTGAGTCATTCGCTGTAATACAGGATAAAATATTGGACGGTTAAGAATCAACACGAGATAATAAAGTATGAAAAATATAAAGATGTTGCATTGGATGTATGATAAGACTAGACAATATAATATTAAAAATGAAAATATTTGAGAGTGTTGGATAACACATATAGTAGAAAAGATGGTGGAAAATAGACTTATGTGATTTTTACATGTAGAGAAAAGATATGTAGATTCGGTGGTAAGGAGAGTTGATCAAATAAAAAAAAATCAAACAATTAGAGGAATAGTAAAACTTAGAAAAAAATCATAAGAAAAATTATTATAAAAGATCTCAGACATTATGGAGAAATCTTTCTTAATATAACATTATGAAAAAATTGATCCATGCAGTCGATCCCATTTAGTAGGATAAGGTTTGGTTATTGTATGTGTGTGATCGATTTATAGATTTTAGTGTTACATGGATTAAAGAGTCTTCTTTGTTTGATTTAGAGATTTTAGTGTTACATGGATTAAAGAGTCTGATACATCTAACTACTATTTTGGTTACATAATGTTTCATTTATGCAATTTTTTTTTATATAATACAAAGGTAATAAGTATTAAGTTCTTTCCAAAAATATTCAAACATCTTATCTTCAATTGTTTCTCAGAGCTTCTTTATTGAAGATATTTTAAGGAACTTAAAATTGGTTTCATAAGAAGTTTTAATAATTTCACATGACATTCAAGCACTTTCATCTTTCCAAATCAACACTAAAGCCTACTAATGATTTTTCAACAAGAGTGTCCATAATATCGAAGTAATAAAATAAAGATTATATCCATAAAGATTGTTATTTAACAAAACTACGATTATGCGAATAGTAAAATTAATTATGGGGGGTTTTCAAGTTTTTATGCGAAAAGTAAAGTTGTTCTAAAATTAATATGAGAAAGCGACTATGTGTTGCGTGAATTCCATGTTTATCCCTTGTTGATGTTTAATGCATTATACAAATGGTAATGTCGTTATACTTTCACGATGAACTAACAAAATCAATGTACTCAATTCCTTGATATACAACTCACTAACTTCTACAAAAGGTCTCTTATCCCTATTCCCGACGTAAGTGAAGTTAGGCGTTGTTATAGTACGTCAATTCAAATGTCACTACTAGTGGTAACCCATCCCTATTCAACCAATGAAAATAAATTAATCTCTTTAGTTCAGACTCATAGGCTTAGAGTCAGTAATCCCTACTCGTCTATAATCATATTATCAATGCGTCCACAAATAATAAGCATTAAGAATAAAGACAATTAAATAAAAACACAACTTCAATTATCCATATAACATCAAATTAAACATGTGATCAAATAGGTTCTAAACAAGTTCATCAAACAAAACCTAATCTATGTTTAGCTACTCATATTAATACAAAGAAATATCAAGAAATAAGATGAAGATAGCATGTGAAATTCTTGAAGAGTTTGGCCTCGAATGACTTCCAATGCTCCAAAAATCATCACCCTAGTACCTTTTGCTGCCACCTTTAGTCAAAATTACAAAACACCTTAAAAAAAACCAAAATTTCCCTTCCAACGCGTCAGAAACGTGCCTACGATGCCTTTTATTGTGCACGCGGTACCTTGTTGTCGTGCCCACGATGAGGTGCGATGACACACATGAAATCCAATATTTTTTTCGTCCTTTGTGCCTTTTTTCACGAAATTTCATTAAGTCCATATTTTCTCCACACTTGGTCATTCTAAGCACTAATTTGACACTTTTGCTTCATATTGGCTCCATATTTGACAGAAATTGCTCCAAATTCTTGCTGAAACCATGTAATGATAAAGTGTCATCAAAACCCAAGCTTAATATGCCGCTTGTCCTCAAATGACTTACCTACCACTACACATTTCAACAAAAAACAACATACTAACTATATCCAATGCACTTTCACCTATTTAAATATTTTATTACTTGATCATTGTTGCGGTTAGAATAGGATGTCAAATTATTAATTAATTTGAATCACATCTTTTAGTTCACAACCGATCTTTGATTTATCCGAAGGAAAATGTCAAAAGAAGGAAAATCTATTTTTGAATCGTAGACAATGCGGGGAGAGACCTAGGTAAGGGGTTGGTTAAGCTTAGGGAAGGTATTAGCACCCTAAATTTCTGTAGTACTCTACAGGAACCTTTTGTTCATTTTTACTATTTTGCTTTATTATTTACTTGAGGATATATACTGAGCTAAGGGTTAAGAGTGACAAAAAGATCTAAGGGTTAGTCTTAAGTTTACTCGCCAAGATTCGCATCTTGTGCCTACGTATCCGAGGTAGGGGATGGAATCAGAGTAATCGTAGTTCCCCTCGAAAGGGAGGTTAGAAACTTCTTGACTGTGGTCAAGGTTTCAATAGGAAATAAGCGTTCATAGGGAAGCACTTACGTGGAGTGCGGCGACTCCTATTTCTACGTTGAAATAGTTAATTAAAATTAGGGTTGAAATTAGGTATTCCACAGCGGGAAAC